GACGTCTAACATTCATATATCAATTCCTAGGAAGTTGAACGAGGCACAAAAGGGGCAGGTTAGGAAAGTGCGAGAATGAGAATTACTGTAGCTGAAAGCTGAAGCTGGAACTCTTGACATCCGTACTACACTGCTGTCGAACATCCGTGCATTAATTCCTGAGAACTTGAACGAGACACGAGCGTGATTAGCAAAGCGCGGGGACGAGACTCACTGTAGCTGGTGGCTGAATTCCCTCTCACGCCTGGAAGTATCGAAGTAATGCGCTGTCAAATTAATTATGGCGGGCAAATTTGCATACTTACTGTCCGGAATGGAGAGAGGAGACACACGCGGGCGATGCTTCAGGGCGTGCATGGATACGGGCAGGCAGACGCAATTTTACACCCCCGGCAATATTCTGAAAACCGACATAGGAGTTGAACAGCTGAAGTTGACACACACACGTTCATGTTGTTGAAATTCGTAGGAGAAATATTGGGAAATTCGCATACATGCAGCAACCATACATGTTGTACTTATGCCCTGAAATGGTTATGCTATAGTTAGAAAATGGTTTGATGGATATATTCCATTTTGGAAAAACTTATACCAAAACGAGAAAGTATTTTAATCGCGAAAAATTAAATTTGAGATATTATTTTTTTTGGACATTAGATGACATGTACAACACGTAAAGCCATGACACTCATTTCTGTCGGTCTGCCTGTTTTTTTGTCCCCGTATAACCTGAGAAGAACCGCTTGGATTTTGATGAAATTTTCACACTGGGTTACTACTAAGGCAAGGATAAGAAAGCTTTGTAGTTTTTGGAAATCGGTTTTGTGGTGGCGGAGCTAGGGGCAAAAATACGAAAAATATGAGCATCGCCTCAAATTTGGTTTTGATGTTTCAGAGGCCGCTGGTCATTTCCCGAAAATTTGTTTTAGGGGCTGGAACTTGGGGGTTGGGGCTGATAGAGGTAAGGGGCTGTAAATGCTACGTCTTTAGTATTTGTCAAAGACCTATCGTCAAGAAGTTTCTGATCCTGATAACAACGGGAAAATTAAATGATAAAAGTCCGATGTATGCCCGTAATTCGAAATAACTTGTAATCGGCGTTGCGTGCACGACGCGATGATGAATGATGATCAATGCCACCGCTAACTGTGCAATGGGTAACTAACTCCAACTCCAAAGGAAAAGCTTTCATATATTTTAGTAGCAAAGTTTAGATAGCAGGAGCACGTACCGCTTTAGCGTTCTGTGATGCAATGATGACTGATGACTGTTTTTTTATCTATACATATTTTTCTGAATTTTATGATCCTTAAAAGTACCACCCATTACACCTAATCTTTATTTTATGTTACTTCGTTTATGATGGTTTTTTGAATAGTTTGTCAAGCAGATTGTCTCAGTACTTGTCAAACATTGATATACAACCGACACGGACTAAACAACCGACATAAATGAGAAACACGTACTTGTATGATGCAGATATCTTCAGGCAACAGAAAACTTCGGAACCGAAGTTCGAATATTATTATGAAAACAGAAATATGATAAGTACCTAACTGAACCTACCTAATCACGATTCGGGTTTGCCATTTGGAATGATTAGACACCGCCAAAGAAGGCGTAAGAAGTATAAGGTCACTCTACTTGACGATTTTTTTAGCTTTGTTGATGACGTCACTTGGTAGGGTGTATAGATAGTAGGATCATGGGAAAACCTTTTGACTACATACTAGCACAATAGTTGGGAATATTATTATTAATCTTCATTTTTATGCTGACTAAAGTGTCGGAAACAAGAGCCAATCATCACCACACTTGACATTTCAAAAATATTACCTTTTACGTGCATATCGTTTCCAACCTTATATCTTGCAAGTTGTGCGAATTTTCGGTAAGATCCTCCCTGTTTTTTGAATGGTCAAGATATCAAGATCAAATTCGGAATCATAAAATTGACGCATAAGTGCTATATTTTAACGTAAAAAGTAATGTCGAAACTTTCAATATGGCGACTATGATAGAGCGGTCGTTATGAATACTTTAAAACGCTAGAAGATAAAATCAATATCTTCCCAAATAGGGAACTGGCAGGGAGTAGCAGTTGAGTTATACTTACATATATCTATATACTTTGTAACAGTATGGCATATAAATCTTTTTATTTTGGAAAGGTCTATCTGAACGTGCAATAAAATGAGGGAGATTCCGTTTAAATAACTTGATTGTTTTATGATACTTTCTATACTTTACTATAAATTCAAATACACCCTTCCAAATGAAGAAGACTGATACAACATACGTTACTATTCATCATTATTCGTCAGAGCGGTCCGGTGGACCTTTGCTCTTAGTTAAACAACATACGTTTTGGGGATTGGTTGTTGCTCTACCACCATATTGGAGTTTTCAACTGCCACGTTCATGCCAAAATTTGGTGTTCGTGCATCAACTTCATCACCTCTAATTTCAGTATTCCAGTATGACCCCTTCGAAAAATAAGTCGGTGTGGGAACCTTATTGACAAGCACTGTATGTATCCTATATGATAAGATGGACGGAATTTGAATGCATCTGCTCTCGTGTAAAATAAAGAACTGTAAAATGCTGTCCTTATAGTAAACTTCTCCGGCAGCCATTCTAGTTATGCAAATTTTATAGATTATTACTTCCTACTGGCGGGGAAGAATTGTAATCAAGAAAATTTTTTAAGATGCAATGTTATGTTTTTTGATGTTATTTGACATGTACATCATTTCCATCGGTCTGTCTGCGTGTCTGTGTCCGCTAAGCTTATATCCGCCTATAACACTAAATAAGTACCGTTTGGATTTCGATGAAATTTTTACACAAAACACAATGTTACTATTATTCCAAGGATGAAAAAGCTATGTAGTCTTCGAGAATCGGTCCATCGACGGCGAAAAAAAAGACCAAAAACAAAATAAATGGAAATGACGACCCTGGTGCAAGAAAGGGATATGTCCATAATTCTGCAAAAGCGAGATAGGTGCTTATTTAGGTTTAAAAAATTGCTCTTTTTGCCTGGTGCAAGTATGGGATACGTACGGGAATTAGATATTTAATTATGATAGCAAACTACATATCCCCTGGTATGGTCTGGTGCAAGAACGGTATAAGATATGTGTAACTTATCCCGTCCTTGCACCAAACTTTGAATAATTTTTTATATGTTGGTATCTCTATCCCCCTCCTGCACCGACCATTTTGCTTACGCAATCGGGTAAGGTGTATTTGCACATGATCCGAGTCACGTAGTCACCGAAAGACCATTGGACAGCGATAATACGCTAGTGTGGTACGTGCGGTATAGAAAATATTGAAACATTGTTGACTATTTGAAAGAACGTAAGATATTAATATGAGTTCAGACAGTGAGGATGAACCTTTTCAAAGTTCAGGCAGTGAGTATTTGCCTTCTAATTCTAGTGCGTCTGAAAATAATTTGGATGAAGGGCAGGAACCCGCCGATAATGAGCCCGCTAATAACAAACGTGGACGAAAGAAAATAAGAAAACCGGACAGCTGGAAAAGGAATGTGCAGAAAATTAAAAGGGCTAAAGGTAAATCTTATAAATCTACGTCAACGGGAAAGCTGGTACCAGAACGAAAACAAGGCGATGATTGCAAATGTAGCAAGAAATGCATAGAAAAACTTTCAGAAACTGAAAAGCAAGAAATAATATCGGCTTTTAATACTCTTTCAATTCAAGAAAAACAAGACTCTTATTTGTCAAGTTTGATACAAGTTTTGCAGATTAATCGACGCCCCAAAATTGAAGGAAATCCAGGGATAGTAAGGAATCACATCTATAAGTACAAGGTAATACTTTTTAACATCATAAATTGTAGTACGTTTATCCACATAAGTTTTAAAACGTTCTAATGGTTTTGCGGTGAATATTTTAGAAATTTTATTAGCAATTTTCTTTTCAGTTACGAAAAGGCGCCTTTGAGCTAAATGTTTGCAAAATGGCTATATGTCTTCTTCATGGTATAGGGAAAAAACGTCTGGAGCGGATCGCAACCCACCTATCTACAAACATTACACCTGTTCAGGATAAAAGGGGTCGTCATTCAAGTAGGCCCAAATTAGTTCACGAATATTTAAAAAGGCAAGCACATCAACAGCTTTCCAAATCGTATTTCCCATTATACTCGTAAAAAAAACGATAAATATTATTTGTCCAGCGATTTAAATATTTCCATTATGTGTGATTTATATCTGAAAAAGTATGAACCTGATGTTCATAAATTAAAACAAGACGGTCTTCCATACAAACCAAAAATATCATACGATTTTTACGGACGATACTTTCGTGAGAACTTTAATATTAGTTTTGGTACAGCACGTAAGGACACTTGCAAAAAATGCGACATATTAAACAATCGGATACAAAGTGCCGATTCAGAAGAAGAAAAGAAGGCATTTGCGTTCCAGAGAAAAATGCATCTCCGGAAGTCTGAATGGTTCTATAAAGAGCTAAAGGAAAAATCCAAAGAAGCGCAAGAAAATGATGAAGTTGAAGTTTTGTGCTTCGATTTACAACAAAACATGCCCCTTCCTAAGGTGCCTTCAGGAGATGCATTTTATTTACGGCAGTTATGGGTACATAATTTCTGCATAAACTCTGCAAAAAATAAGACAGATTATTTCTTTATGTATGATGAAAGTATAGCTAAAAAAGGATCAAATGACGTATTAAGTTTTCTAAATTACTATTTTGAAAAACTTTTAAATCCCAATGTGAAAATCTTATATTTATTCAGCGATAACTGTTGTGCGCAAAATAAAAATAATACTTTGGTTAGGTTTTTAGTTGCAATGTGTCAGGAAGGAAGATTTGATACAATAATTCGTCGTTTTCCTGAGGTTGGGCACAGTTTTCTTCCCTGAGATCGTTACTTTGGAATAATTGAAAAAAAGAAGAAATGTATTGATAGGGTTCTCTTACCACATGTGTATATGAATATAGTTAAATCATCATCAAAAAACTTTTTTGTTATTCCTGTGACTCAGGAGATAATGTATAACTATGCGGCAGGCCTGAAAGATTATTTTCGTCCAGTGCCAAAAGCTGTCTCTAAAGAAAAGTTTTCCATTTCTACATATCGCGTATTTAAATACACCAAAAATTCAGGTGGTGTTGAAGTTAGTCAGTCTGCTAGTATCCCTTTTTTTATACATTTTATGATGCTTAAAAAAAACTACAAACCAAATTTAGCTTTAATGTCAAAATATTACGATAATGCCTTACCTATTAAGCATGCAAAATATCAAAACGTGATGTTGCTAGCTCAGGAATATGTCGGGAAAAACGAAATGTATTTTTATCAATTTCTCAAATCAGATAACGTTACATTAGCTGAGGTAGAAGTTGATTCCGATGTCACGGACACAGATTGCTCTGTTGACTTTGAGTCTGATTAATTACTTAATCTTGCTATTTTTAATTCTTCAACACATATTTTTGCTAATTTCTATACTTAGTTGGATAATATAATATACCTATATTCATAAGAAACATTTTATCTTCTGTTAAAATCAGGACTGCTTTAGTTTATATTAACTTGTATTGTTGGTTAGTATTTAATAATTTTTTTTTTGCTGAAAATGGTTTTAATGTAACTTATTCCCTTTTTCCATCTGCTTTAAATTAGATAATGAAAAGTCTTTCACTTATCGCTTTATTGCACCAATATTTCATTTTTCTTAATAGCATTGTCATTTGGTTAGATAATGATGCTAAAACCATTTATGGCTGTTGTACTAGTTTAGCCAAACTTCATGATCGACATAGCTTTAAAATTTAGAAATAAAAACTTTTTTGCTTCCCCTGGAAAATTAACATATTGTTACTTATCCCCTCCTTGCATCAGGGTCTTCAAATCACCCAAACTTCCTTTCAGACGATCCTGATCATTTTTGTGGAAATTTTTGTGAGGGCTGAAAGTTGAGGATTAGGGGTTGCAGGGAGTGGGGTGTGTATATCTTAATTTTTTGACGTTGGTATATTTGTACTGCCCCAACCTTAGTAAACATACGTATCGACATATTAGGAATATTTGACTCATCATATATGTTCCCGTGTATTTACTCTTAAAACAGAACTATTTCCTACAGTCGGGTGTCGATACGTGCGATCTCGTCCTCCGATCGACAAGCGTCGACGTCGGTGGTTATAGGTCACAGCCGGCAATCGCTGCCGTACTGCTGTAGGCTGCGGAAGCGATGGCCGACAACTGTGAATGTGAACGCCAATATCGTCATTCACGCGGGATTGGTCATAGCAACGATGATGTGCGCCTGCAGCAATTCTTTTCAGGGGAAGGAAGGTCATTTGATTCATGCATGTTCGTAGCCAGCTATTTTCTAAGAAGGGCTGAGTTGTGCCAAACATAATCCACTACGAACTGATGACAGCGTAGCATGAGAAGTAATGAGTCAACTTACTTGCCGTCATTCTTTTTGAAACGTAGATAAACCAGAAATATTTTTACATTTAATCAGTAATATTTTCAGGTCGATTGTACCGTACCGTTCCGCCTGTGACCAAAATCGCTGAGGACTGGATTAAATACCTGCTTAAGCAAAAAGACAAATAGAGCTTGGTATATAAGTGGAAACTATAAATGTATTCCTTTGGAAGTTCTATGTTGAATTAGATGTCGTATTGAAATACTCGAAGTAGTGTGGGGCATAGATAAATGGTCAATTAAATTTCACGGTCGTTGGACAAGCGCCTAGAAGCAGCTCTAAACTGAATTTCGCTCTAACATGCCGATGCACCAGCTGCAAGTTTTCCGTTTTATGATAGTGTTATGGGCATGATGGGAATATAGGCAATGACGTACAGGCCGAATACAAAGCGATTGAATTCAGTTTAAAATGAAATTGCAACCGTTTTATCGTCATAAATGCGACAGCTCTGTTAAAATATCGGTAGAAGGTGTTCTTAAGCAATCTTATTGACTCTGAAATTCCAGTATCGCCAAGTATAAACAGCAGCTGAGGTATCTATCACCCAATAGTGCAGCAATTTTCCTTAGTATTCCCAAACTATCTTAAATGGAAATACTCTAAACTTGTCTTCCACATGGCATTGAGCCATTTAGGTGTCTGACAAAAATTTCATGGGGTACGCAAGTTTTTGGTTTTAGTCGCGAATACCGGAGCCCTTTCAGGTGCCTGAATCTGACATTGTCCTTTGAAATTCCTTTTCAAATTTAAAATTGCTTAATTAGAGAAACTAATCAAAGATAATGGAGTCTTTACAGGATGGATAAATCTATTAATATACCTTTAGGAATAAGAAGATGGGATTGGAAGAGGCAGTGAACAGGAAAGAAGTCGGAATAAGACAACGCGAAGCGCCATCTACCACTAGAATTGACCTACGCTTCCGTCTCAAGAGGAACGAAAGCAACATGGTACAGTTAAAGAATGTGATTCTAATTGATGATTGACAATTTCCTAGGCGCCTGTTGTAGGTAACCGATTTTTCATAACAATTGATCTAAGCTTTCAAAAGATACCTCCAGCAGTTATCTGTGCTATTTAACAGTAACAGATGGGTATCTGGTTATGAGCACTTTCCTACAATGTAGAGAGACAGTGCCGCATGAATAAGCCAGTTTGAGTTTTAGATTGTAGACTTCAAGGTGTTTGTTATCACATCCATCATTTTTTAAGAGTGGATTAGGTACCACTTTCACCAGATCTTTAGAATTGGGCATCTCAACCATTTTTGGAACTGGATATACGTATATCTTAGGATATATCCGAGATACAGAGGATGTCCCAATATTCCATGGACATTGCAGTAAGACCCATTTTTAGTCTCAAAATAAGTCAATTGGACATGATTTCCCTCTATGCAACACATTTTGTCAGATTATTTGAACTGATAAAACCCGAAACGGTTTGAGAAAGGCAAAAACTACCCCCACCCATACTTAAATTATAGAAATTTTTTTCGCAACTCTCCCAACGACTCTGATTTTTTTAAGGGTCCTCTTGTTCACTTCATGTTTTGTCTCTCAGAAAAACAGGCCATCTCGCATAGTTTTCGAGGAGAAAAGTTTTCAGTACTGGTTTCCAAGAAAAATTCCTTATTACATCAAGCAATGGAATATAGTAGGCACCTAGTTGGGGCAAATGCGAGAAATTATGTCAGTGTCAAATTATTTTTGACAACAAGCTACATAAGGTTTAAATTAATAAGTAATGTTAGACTTTATTTTTGATTTTTACTTTGTTGTTTGTTGATAAAATTGTAATAAGTAACATCATACTTGTTTATTTCCGCTAACTACATAAGAATCAATAAGACGTTTGGAAACCTCTTGATCCAACTATTTTTTTTTCTCAAAATCTATCAGAGAGTTTTTATAATGTTTTCCTTAGTAGTGCGATGGAGCTGTGTGGCTCTCAGGTATGTGATATTGGAATATCAGATCATAAAGGTCAGCTGGTTAAATTTCTTGGTTGTGAAACCACAGGTTTTACTCAAAATAAAAAAATGTATAGACCAGTAACACAAAGAGGTTTGTTTATGTTACACAGTAAATTGTCGGAGATATCTTGGGATTTCATTACTGTTGATAGTACCAGCGGTGAACAAAAGTTTAGCCACTTCATGGATATTCTTCAAGAAGCCTATACATACTCTTTTCCAAAGAAAACTTATGTGGTAAGATCCGACCAGGGCAATAATATTTCCTGGTTTAATACCGAACTAAGGGCAATGAGGGAACATTTGAGGTTTTTGAGAGAGCTGAAAGGGCAGTATGGTTTTGTGAGTGACCAGTATTATAAGAACTACAAAAATCTATATAGAAATAAAATAAGAAAAGCTAAGCTAAATGCTAATGACAACCTTGTAAAGAGCTCAAGTAATCCTGCTAAAACCGTGTGGGATATCATTAACAAAAAAAGAGGTAAGAGTAATAAGTGCCCTGGGAGCAGTGACCTGTCATCTGATGACTAATAATTTTTTTGGTAACATAGCAGGTAATATAGTAAATCACATCCCTGATGTACATTTAGATCCTGTTAATAATATTGATTTCCTGGTACCGCCACCTCTGTTTTCTTTTTCTGAAGTCACATTTAACGAGGTTCGCGATGTAATAGATAATCTCAAAAATAAAAACAGTAAAGATATTTTTGGTTTCAATTTAAAAATTGTAAAATGTATAAAGAATATAATTTTGATCCCTCTAACACGACTGATTAATATTTGTCTTAGAGAAAATATTTTTCCAACTGTTCTAAAGAGAGCTAGTGTCACACCTATTTTTAGGAACGGTAATGTTGATTCACCAGAGAACTACAGACCTATATCCCTTCTTCCAGTTATCTCTAAGATCTTTGAAAAATGTATGGCTTTGAGACTGGTAACCTTTTTTGAGGCAAATGAATTGTTTTCACAATATCAGTTTGGTTTTCGCCAGGGTAAGAGCACTGTTATGGGTGTGCTTAACCTGATTTCTTCTATAATTGATGCTTTCCATGGAGGAGGGTATAACACGGTTCTTTTCTGCGATCTTAGTAAGGCATTTGATTGTGTGAGCCATGACATCCTTTTAAAAAAGCTCCTTGCTTACAACTTTAGTTATGATTCCATTAAACTAATTGAGTCTTACCTTAGTAATAGAACTCAGGTGGTGAGATGTGATGGAGTGACATCAGCGGAGCGAAGTGTTAATATTGGCGTCCCACAGGGCTCCATCTTGGGCCCAATTCTTTTTTTAATTTTCATAAATGATTTACCTCTCAATAAGAATATGGCAAACTTTACTCTCTTCGCGGATGATACGACCGTCTCTCACACCGCTAATAGTTTTGAGCGCTCAATGGCACAGTCTCTGGCTGCGCAGGATGAGGCTGAGCTGTGGTTTTGCTCCAATAAGCTGTTGCTAAATAAAGATAAGACAAAGAGAATGGTGTTCTCCATGCGAAGCCTGCCTGGAGACAGTGATTTGGTTGATGAAGCCAAGTTTCTGGGGGTTACTTTGGATCCAAGATTGCAATGGGGCCTTCACATTGACAGTGTTGCTGGAAAGGCCACCAAAGGTATATATGTGCTACGGAGTTTGTCTTCTTGTGTTTCTGTAGAAATATTGAGAATTGCTTACTTTGCCATTTGCCATTCACATATATCCTACGCCATTCTGGCTTGGGGGCATTCTTCAGGGGTCCATAGACTGTTCGCCTTGCAAAGAAGAGCAGTTAGGGTTGTGAGCCGTCTGGGCTACAGGGACGATTGCAGAGATACCTTTGTCAAGTTGGAAATCCTTACTGTGCCTTGTTTATATATTTTTGAAAATCTACTATTCGTTAAAAGAAACTCTAACTATGTAACTCATGGGGACGTCCATGAGCACAATACTAGGCATAAGAACAATCTAACGTAGTACCTCCTTATTGGCGACTGAGAAGGTGTCAAGATGGACCTGGTTATTGGGCGGTCAAATTTTTTAATGTACTTCCAGACGGCTTAAAATCGCTTCCGTTTAAAGAT